CCACACCTGCAGCGTTTTTAAATCTCGTCTTGGAGTCTGCCTTTCCCCAGGTCAGGAGCTGGAAGTTATACATGAAAGAGCACCTTTCCAAAGAAACAAACAAACTAGGACTTTCCATACAAATAGACTAAAAGTTAATTGTTCTGGCCTACAGCTCTTGGTAGCCTCCAAGCTAGCATGCATTTACTTGTGTACCAATAAGAGTTCTTGAGAACCCGGAACAACAGTTGCGTCCAAATGCAACTGATTAATAAACACCGGAAGAATTCACAAGGCTGGTTTGAAAACAGCCTTCACGCCTTTCCTTTTAAAAAGGGGTCACCACAGGAGTTGCGCACTCCATGATCTGATAACAAGAGAAAGACCTCTTCTGTGGGAGGTGGACTTCCGTGAGAGATTGTGTTCACAAAAAGGTCTCTCCCAAAGATCTTAATATCCGGACTAATCTCACAATGAGACAGAAGATTGTTAAGATTCCACACTGGTGATGTTTTCCCCCCCCTCCTACCTGTGCTGTCACCTCTGGATCAAAACGTACCTTTCTCAAGGATTTGTCTGTACCAAGTGCTGCCTGCTTTGTTTAGAAACCGAGGGCAGCTTGTAAGGGTTCACAGGCAGACCTCGGAGCGCCAGGTGTCCGCAATGCCGAGAAAACCATACCTGGCAACCTCTGACTAATTTTGGAGAGGCAGCAAGAATCAAGCTTTAAAGACTCCCCGTGCCTCGTGAGCAAAGGTGACGAGTCTGACGGGTATCATTTGTCAAAGGCTTGTTGAACCGGCTTTGCCTCTGAACATGAAGAAACAACCCAAACACGTTCTCATGGCAGAAGATATGCATACTGGAAGCAGGAGGTTCACGCAAATATGCACTCCCCACCAAAAAAAACCTCTTTGGATTATAGAGAAGGCTGATGAATTTCTTCAATTTCCTCTCAAAGGCCTCTCTGGAGCAAAACTGTGGCACTGTTTGAGATTCCATGCACCCGCTGCTTAATAAAAGATGGTCTAAGATACTTTAAGCTGCAGATTTAAGAAGAGATAGGTAGCGGAGGAGGAGGAGGAGGAGGAGATGTTGAGAACAGAAGCAGGAAGAGTGCTATTAAAGGCCACGGGGAGGGAATCGGGGTGGAGCGCAGGCGTACCCTACATGAAGAAATTAAGATTCGTTAAGCGCTCATTGTTAAAAGGAATCCAGGCAGCAGAGGAAGAGGGAAATGTCTCTTGACTGGTTCCCTGGAAAACTTCTGCCATGCAAGGAGGGTAACGACACAGGTAAGAGAGCCTGCGTTACCAGGTCAGGCTAGGAAAGATAGAGGGTAACGACACAGGTAAGAGAGCCTGGGAAACGACTAAAAGTTCCTTCCGGGGGGCCCCTATTATTTTGCCCCCCCATGGAAAATGAGTGCCCAGCCAGGTTCACATGGCAGTGCGGGAAATCCCCTGCGTTACCAGGTCAGGCTAGGAAAGATCTTGACTAATAACCTGGGGAAGTGGCTGTCACTGAATATCCATCAGTGTTGACAGTAATAAGTTAGATGAACCAAAGATCACATCTGGTATATTGTAGCCCTCTCTAGCTCTAACAGGCTGAGGCTTTAACCCAGATTAAAACGGAGGCTTTTTCCCCTCTGAGTTAGGTCTGACAAGTTAAACAAGAAGGTGTGCATGTGTAACTCATGGATACTGCTTTTTTTAAAAGAAAAATTGGGGGGGGGAGAGGAAAGAATGAAGATCTTTTTTTGTAAGCAAACGTGCTAGATATTAATTTTTTCTTCTTGCTCTGCGGTGTCACAGATCCTTTCTTTTCCTCTCTCTCTCTCTTTTCAGGTAGTTTTCCCCACCACACCACGAGAACAGCCGAAAATTAGAAAGCGCATCGTGTTTCTTCTGCAGTATAATTTTAATTTCTGGCCTCTGCCCAAGGTTTTCTCCAGCAGCATCCATCCATCACAGTGGGAAACTGTGTATCTGGGTCACGGGAAAGAGAGAGAGAGAGCTGTTTGGAGAAGCCTCCCGCTTTTGGGTGGTGGACGGTGACATGATAATTGAACTTGTCTTTTTGTGTGTTGGGGGGGGAAGGGGGTGTGGGTGGGAGAAACCGAAGGGATGTCGGCAGAGCTGGCCAAAGGGGAGGGATACGGCCAGCAAACGAAAGCAAGGAATGGAGCAGGACGTTACGAACAGAACTACCCACTCTTAATGACAGGAAAAGTGACTAGGCGCAAGGACCAGACGCATGGACCGTCGAAACAATTTAGCTGCGAGCAAAGCTTTGGAAAATATGGTTTTGGACTACAACTCCCAGAATGCCAGCCAGAGGATTCCAGGAACCCTAATCCCAAACGGTAGATGTTCCCCAGCTATTGTAAGACCTCAGGACTTGCAATCAACATTCTTGAATCAAAGATGACGAACATTTCATGACACATACTTTGCGTAAGATCAAACGCCACACTCTGCCGGCTCTGTCCTATACCACGGGGTGTCTTCTGGCAATGAAACTTAAAGGAAAAGAACCCAGTGTTACACTGCTTACCCCCCCCCCCAGGGTGTCTTCTGGCAATGAAAGTCAAAGGAGAAGAACCCAGTGTTACACTGCTCAACACCCCCCCTCCAATGTAGTAACAGCAAAAGCATTTCTGATAGCCCCATACAGCCCCGTACATCTGGATTTACTGTCAACCATCTAGTGATCTTCATTTTATGGGATAAGGTAGAACACAGTTAATAAACATATAATGAATAAACCCAAACAGAGTATCCAGACATTGTGGGGTCGCGTAACAGGAACTGGTTGGGAACACGGTATTATAAATACACTTCAGGAATAGGCATCCTTCAGTCTCAAGAGACGATGGTATCGTGCTCTGCATGGAGGACTTGGAACAGCGTCTAGCGTGGCTGAGAAGGCCAATTCGAGAGTGACCATCCCTTCCACACTGAGCACAAATACAATCTGTCCCCTGTCCAGCTCCCTGATTTTGCTGCTTTCGGGACAGCCTCTTTGCCTCGGCCTGCTGGACAAGGGTCTCTTCAAATTGGGAGAGGCCGTGATGCACCGCCTGACTCCAGGCTGAACGCTTTTATCTTAGCCCAAAGTTGCCTCCAGTCTCTGGAAATAATACAAAAACCTGTTTGTCATATGCAAAAGGGAAATGAAAGAGAAAGAAAGGGTTTTTTTTTGCATCTGTACACGCCCAGCAGAGTAAGCTCTCTTAAGTGCACTTCAATGAACTTCAATGAAAAACAGGTCTGCATTCAGCCAAATATACTAAAATATTTAACAAAACAGGATGCAATAATACATCTCAAGTAAGCGGCCATGCTCTCTATGAAGTGCTGTGCCTTGGGATTGTTCAGGCATTTCCCCCCTCTTCAAATGTTTGGGGCTCAGCTGCAAGGTGGAAAAAAAACTTCCCCATTCCGAGCGCGACATCTCATCCTTTAACCAATCCGATTCCCGAGTTCCTTGCGATCTGCATCCCCTTTTTAAAAATGCATAAAACTACTGAGGCAGAGACTGACAAGCCAGCGGTGCATTTAAGTGAAGGCCTCATTAATCTTTAAACCAGCTAAGGGAGACAAGGAAGAGGAGGAGAAGGGCCACGAGGCCAGGGCAGAACTTGCTGTATGAAAAGAAGGGGAGAATAGAAAGAAGCGACAACGTTTTCAAAATATTGTCAGCAGGGAACAGCCTGGAGGAGTCGTTCAAAAGAGGGAAAAACTGCTATGCTTGGTGTATTTTGTTTGGTAAGGAGGGGAAAGCGATGTTGCGATAAACATTCTTTTAAAGCCTTTTTGGATTCCAATGCCATCACTAGGTTCAAATAGGATTCCTTCACAAAAAGAAGTAGGAAATGCTGCTTAAATTTCCAAACGGTACAGATACGATTAATGCTTACTTTTTCCTAAGAGCATGATATTTTTTACGCAGAACCCCGGTTCCACTGGCGTGTTTTGCAAGAGCGCTTCTCTAGGGCTGCGCCGTATCCTGCCCTCGCCAACCTCTAGGGCAGGGGTTGGAGCTGGAGGGCCCAGGGCCTCGGTAGCACCCAGCATCACTGCCCCTGTCCCCCCCCCACACACCCCAGGACTAGAGAGGTCCGGTTCAAAG